CTTACTGAGGAAGACAGAGGCAAAGAAGTTATTAAATATGTTGGCTTTGTCGTCTGGCGTGACAACCAGATTCCCCGTCTTGTCCTGCAAGGGCCCCACATTTCCTGGGGCCTTCTTTCTACTCCCTATGTATTTAAAAAAGGACTTCTTGTTGTCCTTAATCCAGGAAGCCAGCCCCTGTTCCATCTCTGCCTTGGCCTTCCTAACCATCCCCCTACATCCCCGAGCAACTGCTGAATAATCCTCCTTAGTGATGACCCCTCCTTTCCATTGGGAAAGTGTTCTTATTTTTATTTTTCACTTGATGACTTATTTAAACCATTTATTCAGGGCTGAAGATGGATGAGTCTACCATCGCCCAGTTTATTATTATTATTATTTTTTTTTTACATGCGTTGACAATAAAAATACAGTTTGACCAGAAGGTTACTGGCACTTCATAACAACTCATAACCACTAGATCATGAGTAGCTTTGAACTTAATCATTATCTCTTAACACTGAGAAAGGCATCATTCAGCAGGCAGAGGGCAAGGAACAACTTATCAACACCTATAAGTAGTCTCCAGGTTCATACGGTCCCTGCTCCCGGAGTGTCACAGTGCAGTGTAAACTGCGTAATTCCATGCCCCTGGCCTCTCCAGACAGCATATTTTCATAGAAAATCTGTACAGTAAAGTAGTCTTTTTATGGATAAAAAAGATTGTTTTTGGCAATCTGGTTCATATGAGATCATAGAGACGAATTATTTTGCTTTTAAAACTGAATCCCCCATCCCCCCAGAAGTTCCTTCTTCTGGACACTGCCAATTGCTGGGATTTATGGGTAGGAGGGGACCATTGAAACTTGAATTCTCTTTTTCCCCAGGTGGGACAGCTTCAACAGGAGGGACAGAATGTCCTCCCTGCAACAAAAAGGTGACAGGCTCCATACCAGCTATGAACTGACTGCCCAGAGGAGTTTTCCAACTATTGACTCCTCTGTGAAATCATATGGAATATGAACTTTCATTTCTACCCAGGAGAACTTTTACAATCTTTTCTCCAATGCCTGATGAAGGGTATTTGTGCCTGAAAGCTTGCAATTAAAGAATTATTTTGCAAAGATCTTGTTGGTCTAATAAAAGATATCTCTACTATGAGTCCTGATTGCTTCCCCACAACTAGCACTCACCCTACTGGTTTGGGTAACTCCTGAGAGATGAGCACTGTAGGCTATGATCCCCCGCAGGGTGAACCCAGGTCTGTCATAGATCAGTGCTCTAGCTGTTGACTTGTGTAAAACAGGAGTGATGCCTGACTGTCATTTCTGAATGAAAGAGAGTATGGTCATAGCATTCTATGTGAATTTCAGCAAGGTCCTAAGTCTGGGAACTATACTTTAGGCACACCTCTCAGGAGACCTGGAGGAAGGCACGTCTAGCTTGAGGATCCTAACTCAACTCTGGCATGAGACAGGAACTATGCTGCTCAGCCCTAACTAGCCAGTGCCCGTTCTGAGCACTCTCAAAATCTTTAAGAACTTTTGGCACCTCAGGAATATTACTAGAGAAAACTTTGCTACTTATGGACTTTAGGTACCTATGGTCCTCAGCTGTTTTGTGTATTGCACTCTTGGACTTGGGTACCTAAATTCCATCTCAATCCCAGTTTAGGCACCCAGGTCTTTTTAAGGCTATGGGCCCAGTCCTTTCATGAAGTTATTAATTTTACAACTGAATATGTATTTTCTGAAGTCTCAGCCACTACTTCATAGAACTGAGTTCCAAAAGGTATATTACATGCAACAGTTTTAAAACAAAATGAATATGAAATCCAGAACTGTATATTAACCTAGAGCCACATGAATTAATTTTATTTTATTTGGACTCTCAGAACCCCATCCAGTTTCCAAAGAGAAGGGACTGCATCCAAAATACCTTATAATAATATCAATAAATCAATAACTGCCAACTGCTGCTTTGTTTCTTCAACTTTCTGTTGAATTACCTGAACATATAATTGTTGTTAACAGAAACTATAGAAAAAATATGGTTTTCTTTGTATGTTTTTTAAAAATAATATCTAAAATTTATTATGGCAGTGACTACACTGAAAACAAATACATAGCCAAGAAAACACTGCTTAGGTAAATTTTCTTCTCAGAGGCTGTCTAGACTGTGAAAAGGGGGGTTATTTTAGATCAATATTTGAAACACCCTTTCACACCTAACTTAGACATAGCTTGATATGTTTATATTTATGTCAGCTGGTCATGTTACAATCTATCACTGTCAATGCATCCTGTTTATCGGTGGAATATAAATTTAAAGGTAGGCTCCAAAGTTGCCGTACTAATGCCACAGTGAAGATAAGCCCTTAAAAGGAGAGCACAAAACTCATAACCCAGAGGGAAGAGGCCAAAGCTCTCTTTTGAGACCTATCTTCACCTTTTCTGGTGGCTAGAGGGGACTCTGGCAAAACTTAAACACAACCCAGGCAGTCTGTCTAAGCTATAGCAGCTTCCACAGGCCCCTCCCTCTATGGACTCCACACTATTGCATGTTGCATTTTTTTTCCAAGATACCCCCACTTTAAGGGCCTGGAGCCAGCAGCTGCCAGGTGCCTAGTAAGGGCAGCCATTTTAGATTCAGGGCTGCCCATATAAACAAGGCAGCTCTGCTGCTGGAGGGCAGGCAACAACATTGCCTGACTGGAGGGCTGCTAGTATTGTCTGGAGGTAAGGGAGAAGCTGTAGGAAATGGTAGGATGCTCCTGGTCCTGGGCATGACCTAAAACTGCACCCTGCTGGGAGTGGGTGCCCTGGTGGGGCTCCCAGTGGTGCGGGAGCCCCCAGGAAATGCCAGGCCAGTTACCACCCGGGTGAAAGGTGGGTCGGGACGCCTTAACCCCTAGCCCCCATGACTGGGTGGGTGTGCCCTTGTTTTGGAGGGCCCAGAGGGTGGACCCTCAGAGAATGAGAAAAGGGCCATAGACTCAGGCCTGTCTGAGTTTCCCCTGACTGGCCCATGCTGGGGCCAGGACCAGAAGGGACACGGGCCCACTGCGAGGGATGCCCAAGAGCTGAGGGCCTGGGGTCCTGACTGACCTGGAGGTGGGCCAGGGCTAGATGAGTTGAAGGTCTTGGTGGGGGGATCACACCTGAAGGGGAACCAGCTCCGGGAGCTATGACAGTGGGAGAGGCTGCCTGAGGAAGAGGAATCCAGGTGGGGTTCAATAGGAAGATTCTGGGGCTCACTTGGGGGGACGGTGATTAAAGGAACATCGAGATGCCATCTGCGAGGCTTGGGCTGCGGCGTAGGGGAGGAAAGGAGCCGCAAATAGCGCTCCCTGGCATCGGGGCAGAAAATGGGCAGCCTCCTGCTTAACTGACATCTATTACTCAATTAACATCAAGGCGTGGCAGGTGAGAAGGCGGGTGGTTAGCCCAGGAACAGGTGGGTGGGCCACACAGAGATCGGCCCCAAGCAGGCCCCCTGTTACATCCCCATACCTAATACTCCTTTTACTGCAGGCCTATGGCAGTCTACCATGGACAAAAGGACAAATGGAATGATCTGCCTTCCATTATAGCCTTGAAAATTAACACAATAGAAAGTAAATTCTTTTTATTATCAGCACAGCATGAATCAATGTTGATAGTTAAGATTTTCAATTCTGTCCATGTCAAAGGGGCATTTTCAGTTGCTTTTAATGGTTTCAGTCTTCTACTTTTCTTTACAGAATTTGGCAATTTGTTCATAATCTGGGAGCAATTTTAGTTTTTTCACTTTGATTGAGCCAATGAATATAGCTTTTTACAAGAACAAAGTTAGCAGGATGAGATGCATATTACCCATTTAAAAGCTTTTTTGTGAACAGCTCATCACAGTAAGTGTGAATGGCAGATAATTGCAATTTGACTAGAAGCGAGACTGACAATTACATACGGGCTCAGGTAACCTATCATTTGTTAAAGATAGACAGGTGTTAAAAATGTACTTTGTACCTGACTGGATTTTGTAGCATCTTAAAAGCTAACTAGCCATCTGCCAGGCTTCTAATGATGTGGCAAGTTTGTAGACAATGCAGTGGTTTATCAAGGTTGGAAGCACAGGGGTGCTTTCTGCCTCAGCACAGGAGGGTGGAAGGAAAGAGAAAAAACCTCCAGAAGTGACCTTACTTTTTCTAAATGAAGAGAAAACTACCACTGAAGTTGTCACCTATTCTGTATGCTGATGACCGGATTCTGTGAGGTCCGAAGCACTCTGACCAATACAACAAATTGTATAGCTCATGCATTTTCACATTGTAGTCTGTCACAGAGCACTAAGGTTCCTGCTCCTCTAAGAGAAGAGAATGCCTGGGGAGAGAGCCCAAAGAGCCAGACAAGAGCCCCGGTGCAGGTTAACATGACAACCAGCTAAGGAAGGAATTGGCCACACCTGCACCTGGCCAGCTGGCCGGAAGAGGCAGGGCCCTAGGCCCATATAAACCCTAGGGCTAGGGCTAGGCAGAGCAGTTGCCTGCCAGCAGCTGAAGGGGAAGGAGCCTCCAGGGAGGAATGGACCAGAGATGCTGCAGCCGCCAGGCATGCTGCCCTTAGAGCTAATGGGGCTCCAGGAGCCCACAAGATACCCTGGCCTACTAGGCACTTAGTACCAGGAAAAAAGTGTTACTCTTTTAAAGGGGCAGAGCACACCCTGAACCTTGGTGTTCTGTTATAGCCCAGGGGCTCATGTTTTCGTTTGCTGTTTTATAACACTGGTGTTTTGGGTGAGGCTTTTTGGGGAAGGAGGAGGCCTCATTGGGGACCCCAGGTGCCAGTGAGGGGCAGAGGCAGGCTGGCAGGGACCCCAGGTGCAGTGAGGCGCAGAGACAGGCTGAGGTGAGACAGCACCAGTACCACTTGCAAGGCTTGGGGTGTGGTAAAGGGGTGATATGGAGCCACACATATAGCCCAGAAGGCTGAGAGGGTCTTAGGAGATATCATGAAGCAGGATGCCAAGGGGTCTATGAACCCCAGGGTCCAGTAGGATCCCACAATACTGTGTCCAAACATAAAAGATCAAAGGGCAGCCTCCCAATATTAATAGTACCAGCAAGACGTGGGGGGCAAGACAGAGGGTGCCTGTTAAGAAAGACTGGCACGGTTAAGGGGCCCTAGGGGCATCACGGCCATCCCTAGAGACGCCCACCCTGTTAATAGTCAAGAGAGGAACTCACGTGCTTAATTTAAGGATGTACCTAATGCCTATGCTTTTGCTGAAGTGAGAACAAAGAACTCAACTCAGCATCTTGCAGAAGTAACCAAGAATGAAGAAGAAAATTAGTGGAAAAGAACAGTATGTAAAAAAAGGCTGTGTCATGGTGCCCACAAATATGATAGAAGCCTTGAGCTTGTGAAGGCAACAATCTGTCATTTCCCGATTGCACTTTACTTTGAAATCTTCCCTACTGTACACACACACACACACACACACACACACAAAATATTAAAATACATATATTTAAAAATAAGATTATGGGTTGCTGGCATAACTCGGGGAGTGCAAAGGACATCCACATTTGAGTGAGATGGTACAAGCTGGTTGGCAGAGGTCCAGGGTAGCCCCAGCTGTAGGTGGGACTGGAAAGGCACTTTTATCCAGAGCAGCTGAATTTCAGTCCACAAGAGAAACTAGCAATTAAAAATAGAAGGGATATGACCAATTTTGAATAGCTTTATTATGCATTCTGATAATGGGCACTTTGAACTCTTCTTTGCATTTGCAATTAGTGATAGAAACACCATGCTACCTGAAAGCTTTCCAAATCAGTGCACTTCAGGGTAAACTCAACAAAAGCTGGCTAGCTTTTAAAACATTGCAAAAAATATTAGAGTCATGTGAAAAGGAAATTTTTAAGACTTAGGCTCTGGAGTCACAGTCTACAAAATTACTTTCCTACAGGTCTGATTCTTCACCTGCAGGATATGAGTAATATACTGATAGAACAGAAATAAGGTATCATTGGGAAGTATTTGCATTCCACTGGGAAAGAAGCAGGCTCTGCCCTTTGGTTAAAATGTAATTCTACGTTTTCATTTGTTACTGCACTGAACTGTTTGTAACTTACTTTTTGTATTGCCTTTCCTTTATGTTTTCCTTCTATTTTGAATATGGGGAGGAGGAGCATAGGGAAAAAATCAAGATATGTTAAAACTGAAATATTGAACTAAACATGACCTGTAAATGATCTATTCTGTTAAATATGGATTGAGCTTTTACGCAAGTTTTTGGAGCATGCAGACTGTTCTGTCTGCATTACATGCTTATTCAAAACACATTAAAAAATTAAAGCAAACCAGCATAACAGCCATTTTGCTTTAGATTTCATAGAGAAAAAATGTTTTGATAAAAGCATAACAAACTAAGTCCATCTTGGACCTCAATAAGAAAAGTCAAACATGTAATGGTAAAAATTACATCACCTACCATCTTTAGAATCATTGGTTTACTTCAGACAACAGTAGCACAGAGGTGCTATTTTGAGGACAACTGGGCACTGTATTTGTTTTCCATTTGATATACTGTCTAGAACAATTCCAATTGCTGACCACACATGAACTTTATTAAACCTTGGAGCTTTCATCAGCTCTAAGAACTAAAAATTTGCTCAGGCTTGATAACTGGTCAATACTTATTTACCAGGTTTTTTTAATACAAGTGCCTAATGAGCTGAATCAATAATTAGGTTTTTGAATGATTTCAATGAAAGAAAATGTGCAAATAAACTTTGAGGAAATACAAAGAGATGGAGTGATGATGATGATGTATTGCAATCTGAATAGGAATTTAGGTCAACATTCACAAACTTAGATACTTAAAAATTAGACACTAAAATCCATATTTTGCTGAGTTCTTAAAGCTTTCTTTGAGTACCATTGAGAGTTAGATGTACCCTGCACATCTAAAAATCCTTCACATGGAGTTAGAAAACTAATACTAGGGACCTACTTTAAAAACTTTCATGTCCTAAGTATTCAAGGTCTACAGGTAAGAATTGGCAGCTCTATAAAACTAATGTCAAGCCTTAACAATCAAAGTAAAACACATTTTTCCATCACAAGGGGAACCAGGCATACATTATACAGTATACAAAGGCACAAAGTTATTACATTATTCTTTCTTACCTCTATTCCTTCCTTATTTAAGGCATATTCATCAAAGTTCAAAATAGCAGTCTTAATCGTCCGTGGAGGGGGTAATACTGTCAAGCCAATATTGATAGCATTGCTTCGCTTTGAGTCCAACACAATAATTTCTTGTCGCTTTCCATCTGCAGCAGTTTTCTTGGTAAATAAAGAGAAAACAAAAAACAATGATTCTCCCAGTAATTTTCTTATACCATATTGCATAAATGCACGCTTCTTTTCAATGATTTACACTGATACAATTATGCAATAAAATACAATGGAAATAAAATAACTCTTATGTGTCTGAAACTGCCAAAGTTACTTACACCCACAAATCTACACTGATGTCAACAGGCATTGTCAAAGTTGAAGCCAGAAGGAGAGATCAATCTTATTGTGCAAGATATTTTGATTTATGTATTTTTTGCTATGGGAATACAGGTCATTTGGGACTGAGTCACAATGTTTAACAAAAATGTAAAATTCTCAGTACAAAGTACACTTTGCTCTGTCTGATAAAAAATAAATGGTGGCAGGAACTGCTGGAGTTCACAGAAACTGCTTGTAGAAGTGTTGCCTGGTGTTCAGAGTAGGGACCTGTGATCTCTTCCCAGCTGATGATGACTGATTGGCAGACCCTGGCTTTACCACGGAACATCTCCAGCTCATTTGGGAGATGGAAACAGTAATGTCTACCTACCAAGCAGGGTTTCTATGGCTTGATTCAGGGGGCTCTTATATTAGAAAACAGATGTGATGACCCCCTTGGCACTAGTAACAGAACTCTCAGAGGAAGCTTTCTATTAGGGGTGTGCGAAGCAGACAGTATTCGATTTGAAGTCAGCAATTGGCCGTGCGGGGCCGTGATTTGAGGGACAGTGATTCGATTCGATCAGCAATTGGCTGTGGGGGCCCCCCGACCTAGGAAGCACCAGTTTCCAAGCTGGCTGGGGGGGGTCTCCTGCACATTCCGTGGCAAGCCTGGAAGTGGAACCAAAGTACTTCTGATCCACTTCCGGGTCCGTTGCTGAGCATGTGGGGGATCCCCCCACACTCCTGTGGGATGCTCTATCTGCCCCACCATATCAGTGTTTATGAGCCATGCCTGGTACCTTGAGGAACGTAGAAAAAACATATAAAGCAGTGTTGATGGCCGAATAATCAAATCTTTCTGAATCGATTCAGAGGCTTCCGATTCAATTCAGAGAGATTAATGGGTCTCCTGAGTCGATTTGTATTTGGAAATTTGGCCACTGAATCGGGCCAAATCTCATCTGAATCGAATCAGCAACTGAAGCTTCACACAGCCCTACTTTCTATACCTCTTTTATGAATGTGCAGCCCATAGTCACTACCTGGTGGTCCTCTGGCTGGTGAGGCAAGAACCTCCTTCCCTTGCTTGCGGTCATGGTAGTTTCACTGATCCCTGCAAGGGTGTGAATCTACCTCCTCTGTTCTCTTGCCTTTTGGGAACTCCCATGTGGAATAAGGCATAAGATGGTCATTCTTACTTGCCAAAGATTTTGAGATTATCACACAAAATAACAAGATATGCACAAACAGTAAGCACATGCAGAATATTAGCAATGATCAATATTATAGATTTCACTTAAGGGTTCAATGCAAAGAAAAGTTCTCTCCATCCAGCACTGAACATGTGCAAAGTTTATTTAGCAAGCTGATTTGCAAAGCATTTTGAGGGCTTCATAAAAAGTTAAGTTTGGCCTTCAATTGAGGGATTGAGCTCTTTAATTTTTATTTTTTAATTTTTTTTTATTGCATATCTTTAGAAGGTGTCTTTATGGCCAGCCTGAGTTGGGAAATTAATACAGCTCATCTAAAGTGGAGTCTATTCCTCAGTCTTTTTTATAGTGTGTGGGTGCTTCATTATGTCCTCTCTCCTTTGATAACACACAGTGAAGGTCTAAGAAGCATTTCTTCGGGTCCAAATTTGGCTCGAATTTAGGTTAAAAGTTAACACTAAGGGCCTTGTTACATGGGGATTTTGGGCAGGTTCTGGAGCTCTTAACACCTGGATTACCCCCAGAATAACACCTGAAACTAGCGTTAAGCATCTGTTATATGGATCAATGGTATGCCACTCCTGGGTAGGATTATCTCTGACTCCTGTTACCCAACTTGTAGCTACCCCGTAACCACTTTAGACTGCACCTTAGTATAAACACCCACCTGAACCCCCTCCCCCGCTGGCCAGGATCAGGTCCCCTCGCACCAGGGCCATGGATCCCGGTTCACTGCCCCCAACCCCTTCCTGCTAATTTGTGGCTGCCTGTGTTGTCTGTCCTAGGGAACAGGCAGGGAAAGGTTAATCTGCCTGCCCCACCATCGCTGCTGCCACTCTTAGGGCAGGCTCAGCCTGGTGAAGAGCAGCAGACCAGCAGCAGTGCCTAGGTAGGTGAGTTAACCCTCCCTGCCCCCCAGGATAGACAGCACAGGCAGTCACAAGTAAGCGAGGCGGGGAATCTGGGGGAGCCCTGGTGGCAGGGAGGAAGCCTGGAATGGGAGAGTAGGTGGGACTTTTACCTTTCAGTCCTCCAGGCCCCTCCTGGCCTGAAGTGCAACTGCCCCAAACTCGAGCTAGCACTAGCACCCATAAACATCTGTGTGGCTCATAGTGCAAGGTATAACAAGGCCCTAATTTAACAAAGCACTTAAGCCTATGCTTGTTCTTAACCATGTGTTTAAAGTCTAGTGCAGACACTAAGAGAAGGACTGTAGCCTCCCTCCTTTCCCTGTTACCTGCCTTATGTTTAGCAGCACAGGTGGGGGAGCAGCAGCCTCAGCTGGGCTGTATTTTCTGCAAATGGACAGAATCTGAGAAGAGATTTCTAGCTCCACTCACCAATACTGACAGCCATGATGAATGGGGAGTAACCTGGTGTTGGTGCATTACTTCCCTTGTGGGTCAAGGAAGGGTAGGCAGGGGAATTCTTAATGTCTGAGTCTCAACCTGTTTCCAGGCTTACAGCTTAACAATGCAATTATGCTCTGCTACTTATTCAGGGACTGTGTGAAAGCCAATACTGGGCCATAAATTATCTAAAGCCTGACCTATACGCAGATGCTGTACTAGCATAACTGTACTGGATAAACGTGATTTTATTTCCTTTACTGGAATTGTTATAGCATGACAACCTCTGGGGTTGATGCAGTTTTATCAATATATATGTGCCTTTTTCTGGGATAGCTTACTCCTCTTCCTCTACAGGAATAGCTGTACTGGTATAAGTAATTTTATAGCAATTTAAGTAGGCCTGCAATGAGGGAGATCGTAACACTTTAAAATGTGTTTAGATGAGACAGATTACTTAGATGGGCAGTTTAGAGGTGTTCTATGGATCAAATGTATACAAGCTCTTCAAAACTACAATATATTTTTTTAACCACTTAGACAGAATATGTATTTAAGTGACCGAAATTGAACTTCTCTCTCAATTTTATACCTCTTTTTTGTGGGATTTACTTTCTTCTTGACATCTGTAAAAGCACCCTGAACCATGCTGGATCTTTCCCTCAGCAACACAACAGGGTATTTTCTTTATTTAGGATTTGATTTACGGATACTGTAATATATTCTTTCCTCTAAACCAGTCATTTTTACTTGCAGAGCTATTAGTCAATTTTCTAGGACCACAGTTAGTGGTCAAGACCACATAAAAATCAAAGACCACTTCCACTTCCTCTTGAGTCTCAATCACACTTGGCTACTTTTGAACTTATACTTCACTGTACAAAATTACACAGCCCCAAAACCTTCTACAAGAGGGCTAAAGGCTGGAAGAAATCGAGTTAAATTTAGGCTTTCCACAAACAATCTGTATATCCATTTTAGTCACTGAGCCTGACAATGAAGATGTATTTGCTGGAGTGAGAAGGAAAGGTAGTGACTGGGATCATTTCAATTGTAGCAATTCTCCTTATTTTCAATAAAATTGTGAAAGACAGATAAAATCTACATGGATTTTATATCTCTGTGGGCAAATCTACACGTGGCCATATGGTGCCATTGTTACTGCGCCATCATTTAGTACTTCCTTTTAGAAGTACTAAAAGATTGTGCAGTAACAGCCTGGACTGCACCGTGCTGGCAGTACAGAGTTATTTTTGGCCACTACATTGCTGTAGCAATGCACTATAGTGAGGGAGCGTGCTACAGCTACGTAGCAGTGGCATCATGGTTTTTGCCAACGGACACTACAGTGCCGTAGCATCTTGTGTATGTAGCAGGGTACAAGTACTTTAAACAACTATCTAACATCTGAAAGAGGAATAGGTTTTAGATCAGTTTGGGAAAGCAGATTAAACAGGGATCTCTCAAATGAACAGAACTGTGGACTAAAGACAAACAAACTGACTACATTTGAGCATCATCATCCTTTCCCATCCAATTGTTAGAAGCTCGGGAAAGTACAAATTAATCTATATGTGTATCGTCTACCCCCAAATGCTTTTCCTATAGAAAACAGTTGCTGAACAGGTGCGCACAGGCACGTGCGCACACACACACAGAAGGCAGTTACATTACATTAGCATGGTGTTGCTTATGGACATGTTTTACTAGCTCATTAATGCAGAAAAATTTCAGATAGTCAGGTAGTTGAAGGTGCCAATTAGATTCAAATGCTAAGGAATCAATATATAGCAGATTACTTCAAATGCTGTAGGCTATATTAAGTAGGTCCTGTAAGGAAAGGGGAATCTATTCATATTTATTATTTCTGAGTGTGCTAACAAGCTCACCCCTGTGCAAGACATCTCTGGCCAGTTCTGCCACCTTCATCATGGCCAAGTGGTTCAGCAGAGTACTCACACGGTAAGGGAACTATTCAGCATGACTACAGTAATAATGACAGAAAGAGTCTGCACAGAAGATAACCTGTTCTTTGAAGAGTACAGAGACAATAGGTCAAACTTGGAAGCCTAGAGAAAGTTGGGATGTGGGCCAGGGGGGAGGGGGAGGAGAGGTTTAATTTTTTGTTTGCTTTTCTTATTCTGAGTATTACAGCGGGAGTGAGATTTAAAGCAATTTCTCCCATGCGCAGGTAAGTCAGTACTCTCATACAAGTGAGAAAAAAGACCCTTCCCAAACTATACCCTTTCCAGAAGAGTCATATAGAGGAAGTTATGTTGTTGTG